CACCACCACAGTCCCTCTCCATGGTTGCTACTCTCTCTAGAGGTCCGTGTAGCTGCTAGGGTGCAGCACACAGCACTGAATGCCCTGCTCCACTGGCGTGTTTCTGCCTGGAGGGCTCTGGGCTTGCTCACTCTCCGTGTGACCCTCTCACATGTGAGCTGGGTATATGAGTTCAATATTGATGGCTCCCAACTCAGTCAGCTGTTGCTTTTTATCTTTTCATAGTCTGAGAACAAACTGGCAGACAGTCACAGGGGTAGAAGCTTCCTGGTGACTTGCCCCTTTGTGTCTCCACTTTCCTTCTTATTTGACAGTCATAACCTGTTTGAATACTGCTCTTAGAAATATAACATATAAAGTAAAGGCCCTTTGAAAAAACATGCGACATTAAAAAACATAAAGACATCCAGAAAAATAAATTGGACTTAGGTAAATTAAAAGTTTTTGTACCTCACAAACATCTGGAGAATGTGCAAAGATCCAAAGATAAACAATGTTACTTGCAAGATAATGTATCTTGTAAAAGGCTTATATCCATCTTATAGAAATGAGTTTCACAATTCAGCAATAAGACGAATAACTCAAATTACAAGTAGACAGGGATCTGGATAGACATTTCCCCTAAAAAAGTATATAAGTGGCCAAAAAGCACATGAAAAGAGGGTCACCACCTTTAGCCTTTCAAGAAATCAAATTCAGAATTGAAATCAGTTACTTTTTCTTATCCGCTATGATGACAGTAATAAAAAATTTAAGCCAGAATGTGGAGAAATTGGAGCCATTTTGCTTTGCTGGTGAAGTTGTGGAAGGGTGTGGCCACACTGGAAAGCAGGCTGGCTGTTCCTCGACCCTGTCAATCAGAATTATCATGTGACTCAGCAACTCGGCTCTTTGGTTTGTGCTCAATAGAATTAGAAACACATTCACAGAATTTGTGTACAAATGTTCATAGCAGCATGAACCCTAATACCCAGGTCCTCATCAACCAATGAATGCATAAAATAAATGGGGGTGTATTTATACAATAAAATATTATTTGGCAAAAAAAGTGCATTCTTAAAATTCTCCACGTTGCTCCCACTACTCTGAGAATACCCTCCAAATCTCCAGAATGATGTGGGTGCTTTCTGTGCCCTTTCTGGCATCTGTATGCTCTCTCCAACATAGAGTAGATGCACTTTGCAAATGCTATGCTAAGTGAAGTCATTTTGTCACTGAAGGTCACATATTATGTAATTCCATCTATATAAAGTGTCCAGCATAGGCAGATTGATGGAGACAGAAAACATACTGATGACTGGCAGAGGGGGAAGGAGTGGGGAGTGACAGCAAGTAGAGATGTGATTTCCTTTTGGGGTTATGAAAATATTCTGAGACTAGGTAGTACTATAGTTGCACAATTCTGAGTGCCTACTAAAACTCGCTAAATTTTATATTTTGATTGTATAGGAATTTTATCTCAAATCACTATTATAAAAGCATAACATTATAAACACGTTGGCTTTCTTTTGGTTTTTTGAGAAGGGGTTTTGCTGTGTAATTTAGGCTGGCCCTGAATTCACTGGGTACTCCAGGTTGGCCTTGAACTCATGGCAAGCCCCGTGCCTCAGCTTCCTGAGTATACTGGAATTACAGGCATATGCTCTCATGCCCAGCTATATACACTTTTAAAACAAAAATTTCCAATGTTATTTTTTGCTTGTTCATAGCTCACAATTTCAAGCTAATTTAATAGACCACTATAAAATATGTCAGAAAATGAATATAATGAAATCTCACTAGTAATAGCTACATGAAATTGAACTGAAATGCAATTTTTTAAAAAAAGGTTTTAACGTTTCCAAATACATAGTGGAGTTACAATGTATTGGCAAGTAGAAATTTGGTGGGGGTGGGTTTTGGACAACAAAGAATGATTAAAAATTATTTCTACACACTTATCTAGGAGATCTTTGTCCAGTTCCTTTGATCTGTGCTAACATAGATCTGTTCATTTTTAAATAAATGAATACCTTTTAAAAATGCCTGGATACTATTCTATTAAATAGTTCCAGTACTCCACTGAAATCTTATATACACTCTTTATTTGCTTAGCAAGACTTGCTTTAAAAAAGAATTGTGCCTGGCAATTTTGTATTTCTTGATAGATTACAAAGAATTTCCATGCCTTGTAATTTGTTCATTCCTTACAATTAAACTCTGGACCCAAACTTGAAATTTTTCCTTTCTTTGACCCATTCAGTCAACTCATTATAATGTTTTGGTCAAATCATCTTTCAAATACATTGGCAATCTATCCACTTCTCCCTACCCAACTGCTACTGCTTCAGTCCAAGCCTCCAGCTTGGCTTTCCTGGATTCTGCATTGGACCCCAAACTTGCCTTTTTAAAATATATTGGCACAATCCATTTTCTTTTTTTTTTTTTTTTTTTTTTTCCTTTTTGTCTTTTTGAGGCAAGGTCTCACTATGCAGTTCAGATTGGCCTCGAACTCACTTTGTAGCCCAGGCTGGCCTCAAACTCACAGAGATCCTCCTGCCTCAGCCTCCCAAATGCTGCCACAATCCATTTTCATGGCAAGAATTACTTGCATCACATCTGAGTACGCTGCTACCTTCTTAAAATTCTCCAGATTGCTCCCATTACTCTGAGAATAACCCCCAAATCTCCAGAATGATGTGGGCACTCTCTGTACTGTTTCTGGCATCTGTGTGTTCTCTCCATGATCCTTGGACCACCTCCACCGGGCATTCTGGACCAGCCACACTGGATATCTTTTATTTCTACAAATTGTCTCATTTTTCAAAATCTGTTCATCTGCTGTTCCTGCTGCCTGGAATATCTTTCCATCACTTTTGACTGATTCATCTTCGTCATTCAGGCTTCCGCTAAATACCACCTGTTGCGAGAACCTTTCCGCCATCTTGATTCAGGTTATGTACCTCATTAAATCTCTTCTCAGTGTACTTCTTCTTGTAGAAAAATCATCAAAAAGGATAATTTTTTGAATGTCAAAAGATACCAACCTTTATTCTGTTTCCTGTTACTGCTCTGTAACAGGAAAGCTCTTCCCACTGTGTAAGCCCACTGTGGATATCCGTAGTGGGTATCCCATAATGGATACCCTTTGAACATGTGTTAAGTGAATAAGTAGCAGACAGGTACAGCGGATGTTAATCCTCAAATTCAGAGACAGAGAAAATGGACTTAAGAGCAATGCAGTGAAGTGTGATTTCTTTTCTGTTGTTAGTAAATGGGCAATCCTGAGGAATGCAGGTGATCTCCCTTGTAATTCTAGGTCTTTTATTGGGGTAAGATTAGGGTTCCAAGTTCTATTTATGTCATTTCTATTTATTTATCTTGCAGTACTGGAGATTAAACCCAGGGACTTCTCACGCTAAGCAAGCCCTCTGCTACTGAATCACACCCTTCCAGCCCCAAACTCTATAGGATTCAAAAGCCACAATTTTATTTATTTATCTATTTTTGCCTGCACTGTACTGGACATAGGATGCCCCATGGAAGAAAGTGTGAAAAGTGATCAGATTATCCTGGAGCTGTCTCACTTCACAGAATAGAGTTAGAGCTGCAAGTATTTGGGAGGTGGTTTTGATTCGTTTCTGGATGTGACTGGTGTAAGGATTAACTCTCAGTCTAATCAGGCTTCCATCACTTGAGTAGGTATGATGGCAACCTATTTTATGTCTTTATTTGTCACCTTCCTTAACATATAACTGATTTATAAAGGTACAGCATAAGCATAGAAGGGGTAAAACCAGCTAGACAGCGTGAACAATTATTCGTATCATGTCTAATGAAAGAGCATCGTGTTAAAAGGCTGTTCCACCCCCATTCGGCTTTCAAAGCTCTGGGCCCAGAAACACAGCTGGGTTTGACTCATCTGCGAGGGGCCCCCTTTGTGAGAGGGCAGCAAAGAGTCCAATGTGTTCTGGCATCCCTGAGTAGAAAGTTTGCATGGCAGGGCTTGGTTTGCCTCCTCACATGTCTGGAAATCACATCGAGGGACACAATGAGGACAACAGACACAGAACCAGTCCAACAGAGACTTGAGAATGGGCCCAGGCCCTTTGGAGCTCCAGAGCTCGTCAGACTGGATCTCCTGACAAGTCTGAAAACAGTAGTCTGAGAGGCCAGCTTGCTCACCTCTACCCCGTTCACAGCAGTTCATATTCTGGTATGAAAAGTGGTAGGCAAGCGTGCTTGAGGTCAGTGACACCCACAATTGGCTAGGACTTTTTTGTCCTTTGCACTCATACTTACATTCTGTGTCCCCTGGATTCATTAAATATTGTTATTGCGACCTCAGGTCATTGACTTGTGCCAGAAGTTTGTTGTCCGCTTGGCAAATGCTGCTTATTTTAAGATATACACGTCCTTGACACTTCTTCAACTTGTGTTGTCATGTCAACTGTTGTCAGGCATACAAAAATTTTTCAGCAATGTTTTGTTTGCTCGCACCTACTTGTGGAAGGATTGTCTGGGGAAACCACATCCGTGTGTGTGTGTGTGTCTGTGTGTGTGTGTGTGCACCTTTGTGGTTCCGCATTTTCTTTTTAGAGAGAATGCGAAGATGAGGCTGAAGAGATCTTTTACTGAACAAACATCTGTGCTTGGCCTTGCCCCTTGGAAGTGGTGAAATTGCTTTGTCACTTCTGTTTGCATTTCAGTTTCCGCAATAAAATAGGAACACTGGCATTTGACTTAATAATCCATCGGGTGGACTCTGAGGGCCAAATGCAAAATGTCTGAAGAACACCCTCTCTGCGGGTGCAGAGGTGCACTGCTGCAGTCCCATCTGCCAAGGATACTGAGGCAGGAGGTTCTTCCAGGCCCAGGAGTCTGAGACTAGCCAGAGCGTTATAGTGAGACTCAGTCTCAAAACAAAGCCAAAAGCCTTAGAGGTGACTAAGTATTTCGAAAAGTCTGATAATAGTTGCAATGGAAGTAAACTTCTTGAAAATGATCCTTTTTCTGTTCAGAAGGCACTGTGTACCTTTATGTGGTGAATCACCCTCACATGGAGTCCACCGTGGAGATATTTAAATTTGAAGAACAGCAACGATCTCTTGTACACCTGAAAACTATAAAACATGAACTTCTCAAAAGGTATGGAATTAAAGCATTGTGTACTTTTATTTATTTTGCACCACCGCTGTGTGCTTTTTTCCCTTGGGTCAGCAGGCTTTCTTAAACTTGTTGTTTTGCAGCATTTTTTTCTAAAGCTTTCTAAAGATTCCCATAGTGACTCTACCCGGCACCTCACCAGAAATTACTGTGTTTAGCACTGAATATCCCTATATTTTCCAACTTTTTGAAAGCATTTTAATCCCATAAAGGCGCTCAATTAGCTTCCCAGCTCTAATTTCATCTTCTTTGCCAGGGCAATTCAATACCTACTATCGGGCTGTCTTTAAACACCTACTCCCTTTTCTAATAGTATTCCGGGAGCCTCACCCACTAGGTGTTAAACCAGCCTCCAAAAGGGCCATTTCTTTGTTCAATAAGAGGTTGTTTTAAATAGAATTTGATAAAGCTCACAGGCACTTATAAGAATTACATTTATTAAATGTTGACTATGTATCAGGCACGATGCCAAAATCCTTACTTTAACTTTATTTTCATAATAGTCTTTAGTAATAGCCCTGAGTAAATTGAGCCCAAGAAGTTTTGGACTAGGTAACTTTCCCAAAATGTGTAACAGGCACGACCATTATGTAAACCTGAATCCATCTGAATTAAAAGATGAGCTCCCACTTACAAATGCTTTGTTTCCATTGTTTCCTTCTTTTCTCATTTTTTTCCTCCCCTTCCCCCTCCGATCCCCTTCCCATTTGAACATTTCACTGTATCTGTTATACATTTTGGTCCTTATTTACACTTTCAGTTTCTCACACCAGAGAAACAATGTGAGAAGAACGGTTGAAAGGAGGATAGAGGGATGGGGAAAAAAGAATAATCTAGATACATCCAGGTACAAATTCCCTGTGATGAGCGTGATCATTACGTATATTTAAAATGTACCAATAAATTTAATTTTTTTAAAAATGTGTTTTTTAAAAATAATGAGCTGCCAGTTGCAAGGATGAGCATTTTTCTTACTGCTTCCAGAAAAAAATAGTAAGGTTTTTAGTGGATAAGCTGCCCATTTCCAGTCTGTAGCAAACAATGATAATTTTGTCTGTTATAAAATAGGCTCGACATTCCAGAGCTAGTTCAGAAATAGTACAGGTTGCCTTTTCCATAGGGAAGAAAACGAAAGAAGCTCATCGCCTTTGTTCTCTTTTTCAACATTACTTTGAATTTCTTGCTGTCACATTTGAGGGCAACAGAAGCAGAGGGCACAAGAAGCAAGAGTGTTGAGGATACTGAACTTTTCCCATAATGCACTGGTTTGGTTTCGGAGGCCACAGTGGACTAGGATTGCCAGAGGATTCCTAGCAAGCTGTGGACAAGTCACTTCAGGTGTGCCTCAGTTTCCTGAGTGACATGAAGATTCTCTCATTGACTTGACTTGCCAGTGAGAAGAAAATCATTTTTACGAAAAGATCCCTAAAAGGCACAGCCTGAAGGAAAGCCTGATAAGTGATCAGTTTATTAGATAGTTCAGTCCCAAGAAGCAGAAATCAGAGACCATCCTGAAACAGGGGAGGAGCAACATTATGAGTTGAATTATGTCCTGCAAAAAGATACATTGAGATTTCAACCCCTATGCTTCAGAGTATGACCTTACTTAGAAATAGGGCCATTGCTTATATCATTAAAGATGGAGTCATAGTAGAGTAGGATACATTCTTAATCCACTATAGCTGGTGTCCCTAGAAGAAGACATATGTTAAGGCAGAGTAATGTGTGGTGAGGAGTCCTGCCATGACAGTGACATTTCTATAAGCCAATGAATGCCCCAGGCTACCAGCTGCCGGAAAAGCCACATAAAGATGCTCCCACCGAACTTTCAGAGGGAATGTGTCCTTGCTAACATCTTAAATTCAGACTCCTGGCCTCCAGAACTCTGAGACAATAATTTTTGCTCTTTCAAGCCATACAGTCGGTGATACCTTGCTATGGCAGCCGTAGGAAACTCATACATGCAGAAATCCATACCAAAAGTATTAACAGGCCAGCTGCTCCTAAGTGCATTTGACAGCATGAACTCATGGAATTGTCTTCCAGTCAGCTGCATAATCCTCATTTCAGAACAATCTGACTGTGATAAAGAAGAGTTTAATCCGTTGCCCTATCTCCTGTTAACCAAAGGTTGGCACAAGGACCCTTAATCTCTGCTACTTTCCTGGCTATATATGTACAAGTTAAATCTGGTGGTATCTTGTGCTTTGATGTTGACCTGAAAGTCTAGAATGGGGCTGAGTGAGGTAAGGCACTGCGTGGTGGCACCTGTAGGGAACAGAGGGAGCTGAAACAGGATAGGGAGGGACAGAGAAATCTAAGGAGGAGCTGGAAGGCTGCCTGCCATGCACATTGAGCAAGCGTGTACAACAGGCAGAACAGAATGCTGGGAAACACATCGTGAGAGAATTTAACTCGCAGTGTAAGGCAAGAGTTTGGGGATGGAGGAACGCTTAAACTGGGGCATGAGAGGCACATAGCGCATGACTCTGGGGACATCATTGTATATCAGAATCTCAAAGTATTTCCCAGTTCCTCCAGTTTTCCTCTCCTAAAATTTATTCTAAAAATCTTTCATCTTCCTGTACATTTGCCGTCAATTTTTCTTGTTCAAAATGGAAGTGACTTTTTTTTTATGGATTGTAAGAACTTAAAAACTTGCTTCATTTAAAGATCTTGGTGGTAGCTGGGAGCAGTGGTATGGGTGTAGCACAGCTACTTGGGGGCTGAGGCAGGAGGAACACTTGAGACCAGAAGTTTGAGGCCAGCCTGGA